ATAATGATAATGCCTCTGTATCTTCAGATCTTTGAACATTGAGTTTTTAAGGTTTATGAGGGAAAGACTGCTTAATGTATCAAAAGGAAGGTGGTAAACCAGAAGCAAAAGAAGTGGGGTATCAGCTCTGTGGAGAGAACAGGGTCGAGAAGGACAATCCTGTGATTATTTCATTGGAAACTGAAAGTACCAAAAATGTTTGGTTTTGCTTGTTGTAGACTAAACATGACAAAAAATTTCCTGTCATTCTTGCTTTCCCTGGTGTCTGCTTGGTCCAGAATCTCAGGTAGGAAAGGATAGAGTATAGGAAGGGTAGTGGAGAGAGAGAGAGAGAGAGAGAGAGAGAGAGACAAAAGGAACTGTTAGAAAACCAATCAGTGCATTCTGGGCTGTGAAACATGGGCCCTGATTGTTTGCCCCTACCCTGCTAAGTTCCATGAGGTGTTTGCTTTTGATTTCTTCATTGCTGTAGCTCCAGGACAGAAAACAGTGTCTAGCATGTAGTGGGCTTTCAAGAAATGTTCTGGAAGAAAAGCAAGGCCATGAGGGTATGAGGATACTTCACGAAGTTCATGGGGAAAAATGGAATTAGAAAAATAAACTTGGTTTTATGTAAAAAATGTGAAATTAATGAATAGTTTCTTCATAATATCCAATTCTAAAATTATTTTGCCTATTTTCATTTTGTTTGAAAGGTAGAGAGACACAGAGAGAGCCAGAGACAGAGAGAATTCCCATCTGCTGGTTCACTCTTCAACTGCCCCAAATACCCAGGGCTGGACTAGGGTCCAACAGTCAGTCCTAGTCTCTCATTTGGAAGTCGGGGACCTAAGTACTAGAGCTATAACCTGCTACCATTCCCAGGGTGCCCATCAGCAGAAAGTTGGATTGGAACTGGAACCAGAACTCTAAACAGGCACTCTAATACAGGATATGGGCATCCCAAGGAGCATCTCAATGGCTATGCCAAACATGTGCCCATAACACCAAATTGTTCATTAATTTTTGGGTTGAAAGAGCCTTGGTAATGTTTTGGCACCTATAGCTTTTGAGGCTCGCTCTCTTGGATCTCTCCTAATCTATTAGACTGAGAGAGCATTTTAGTGTAATACTGGTAGGTTGTATTAATATCACAGTGCTATACCATAGTACTACATAGCTTTAGTTAATTGAGCTTAATTTAACAATCAATATCTGTGGCAGAGGCCTCATCTGGTTCTTCTTCATTAGATTCACAAATTAGTTGTCATCAGTATAGGTGTTGGCCTATACTGAACATTTTTGTAGAAGAGTTACATTGTGTTTGAGATGCTTAACTCAGGGTAAGGTAATTTTTTTGCCTATGGTACTTAAATTTCTCTGGATAATCAATAAAATATACTCCTGTGGATACTGCAGGAGAAATTTAGTCTGCTCCTTTGGTATCTAACAGCTTAACATGTTTTATGGAATGAATTATTAAACAATTAAAATAGGGGCTGGCATTGTGACACAGTGGGTAAAGCTGCTGCCTGTGATGGTGACGTCCAGTATGGGAGCTGGTCATGTCCTCACTGCTCTACTTCCAATACAGCTCTCTGATAATGTGCCTGCAAAAGCAGCCCAAGTGCATGCACCCCTGTCACCCATGTGGGAGACCCGGATGAAGCTACTGGCTCTTGGCTTTGACTTGGCCCAGCTCTGGCCATTGCAGCCATTTTGGGAGTGAAATAGCAGATGAAAAATATCTCTCTCTCTGTCTCTCCCTCTCTCTGTAACTCTGGCTTTCAAATAAATAAATCTTTTTAAAAAATTAAAATAAATTCTTGACTCTCCCACATAAACAGGAGAAGCTAAGAAAACTTAACTGTGAATATATTTGTTGTAACCTACAAATCGGCACAAACTTCTATCCCATCTGCTCTGATCTGTCAGAAAGTGGTCAGAGACAAAAGCTTCTATTCTACCAGCACCCAGACAAATGAGAATAAAGGAAAAGCACTCATGTTCATGCTGAGAACTGGGTCTGATCATTAGCCAAGCTTAGTCCTTTTGTACTTAGCTCCAACTCACCCTACTACCAGGAAACCAGGGGAGTCTGGGTGCCTGGGACCACACTGAGAGAGAGAATTCATTAAAATGAGTCCTGTCTCCTACTAACTCATGCTAAATTTTTCCACATCTCATGATAGCTTCTCTAAAAAGCTTTCCATGACACCTGAAGCTAGAAGCAACTATTCCTCCTTTTTACTGTCTTAGGACTTTACTTCTCCTGTGTTATTATTAATAAGAATGAATATTCATCAAAAATTCACTGTGAGTCTGACAGTGTACACATTATTCTCTATGAATTACTTCTTTTAATCTCATAATAAATATATAAAACTCACTCTGTTATCATTGATTTTATATATTGGAAAACTAAAACTCAAAAAATATAACTGGTCCATCTTCATAGAACTAAGTGAGTGGAGCCAGAATCTTATTTCAGAGCCTACAACATTTTTTTAAAAAGATTTATTTATTTATATGAAGGACAGAGTTACAGAGAGGCAGAGAGAGAGAGAGAGGTCTTCTACCTAATGGTTCACTCCCCAAATGGCTACAATGGCCAGATCTATGCCGATCCAAAGCCAGGAGCCAGAAGCTTCTTCCAGGTCTCCCACAGGGGCACAGGGGCCCAAAGACTTGGGCCATCCTCCACTGCTTTCTCAGGTCAAGCAGAGAGCCAATAGGAAGTGGAACAGCCAGGACTCGAACCAGAGTCCATATGGGATGCCAGCACTGTAGGCCTCAGAGCCTATACTATTACCCATAGATTATATTGGTCTTCCTTGTGTTCTTCTAGGGGACAGAACCCATATCCTGTTGATCTGATTAGACCCTAATAATTCTTTTCTCCTCTCACAGCAAATAGGTAGTACCACACTAAAAATTCAGTAAGTATGTTTGTAGTCAAAGCCCAGAAGTAGATGGGTCTTGAATTTTCCTCCTGAGCCAGCACAGACCAGCAGTATGACACTGCTCCAGCCTGTCATACTTTCTAATTAGGTATGTACAAGTGCCACGGAGCTGTGTGAAAATGCAAGAAGGCACCTCTGTGGATGGTTTCCAGAGAAATAAGAAGGTTCCTCTTTCCTCACTCTCTTTAATATGCATAATCGGTCTTAATTTGACCATCCCGTAGCACACACTCATCCCGTAGCCTACCCTCTTCCATAAGATAGAGAATGATTCTCAACACAAGCGAACCTTTGAAAGCAGTAAGTATGGGGAGACGGGCCTCCTTTGGACAGAAGATTTAATCCTAAGCGGATCCTGGCACTTGGCCGACTCCCAGAGCTGACATGTGCATGCAATGTTTTCTCTGTTCTGATCAAAGGCCACACAAGCAAGTTGTGCTCCTGTCTCCCCAATTTGCTGAAAGAAGAAGTAGGGTGAACAAAGGCAGAGAGAAACAGGAAGTAATGAATAAAAATGAGCAAAAGTGGTCACTGGTGATCAAAAAAACCACGTTTTTCTTTTATGATTAGAAACATTATATACTGCCTGAAACATTGGAAAACAGAGAAAAAACAAAGTACAATTCCAGTGGAAGGTCCCTTAGGTACTATTAAGTTGGTTCTAACGGTTTATGCTGTTGTGTGTGATGCTTTGCCATCCTTAGCTCACAGGAAGCAAGGCCTTGTGGTTTATCACAGATTAAATTCTTGCTGAGTTCAAAAAGAGATGCTCACAAGAAGCAGCCAGCATTCAGGAGGGTTGATAGTCTGCCCAAAGAATTGTAGGAACCCTTAGAACATAAGCTACTTTGGGTAGTCATTTGGTGCCACAGTTAAGACGCTGTTTGGGATGTCCACATCCCAGACGCCTGGGTTTAAGTCCTGGCTTTACTTTCACTCCAAGAATCCTACTAATATGCACCCTGGGAAGTAGCAAATGATGGCTCCAGTACTTGGGTGCTGCCACCCACACAGGAAACCCAGATTGAGTTCAGACTCCTGGCTTCAACTTGATCCAGCTCAGTCTATTGTGGGCATTTGGGGAAACCAGCAGATGGATGACCTTTCTCTGTCTCTCTTTCAAATAAAAACAAAGATTTAAATAAATATTTAAAAAATCAAATGTAGACTACTTATCTTGGGATGACTTCAAACTCTGGTAATTGTAGAAAGCAATAACTTTAACAAGCATGGGGAAAAAGAATAGAAGAGTTTCCAACTAAGGTTTCCTCCCTGTTTCTTTTAATTTTTATTGATGATGATGTTGTGATTTTTCTTTACATGTTTGTAAATCCTGAGACATAGAGAAAGCATAGCATAGATGTAATATTTTGGCCTTTTAATCAAAAAATTAGGACAGCATCTAAATCCAGTTCAATGTCTACCTCACTAAAGTTGCCATTGGAGTGGGCATGGTACTGCCACAGGTTTAGCACCAACTGGGATGCTTGTTTCCCATATTGGAGGGGCTGTGATGGAATCTTCTCTCTGCTTCCAATCCAGCTTCCTGCTGATGCATTTCAGAATTTAACCCTGGGAGGCAGCAGATGGTGGCTTAAATGTTTGGGTACTGCCACCCACATGGGAGAACCAGATACAGTTTCTAGCTTCCTGCTTCGACCTGGTCCAGTCCGGCATGAAAGCTACTCCACTGCCCCTCCTCCTCTGCCCTTTGCTGTGCCTTTCAAATAAAATAAATAAATAAGCTTTTTGTTTTTAAAGGCACCACAAAGAGCTACAGTGAGGGTGGGGAAGTAGGGTATGATGTTCTAGGAAGAGAGAACTCTGGGAGAGGTGGAAAAGGTAAGATGGAGAAAAGGGTAGAACATACATTAGACAAAATATTTTTGTCCCTAATACTGTGTGTTTCACTCTGGGCTGGGATATGTTACAAGGGTTTCAGATTGACTTTCTATAAAAAACAGCATGTGGCAAACTGCCTCATTCATTAAAAAATTCAGGAGATATCACAGTATTGAGCAGCAAGCATAGGCTTTAGAATCAGACACGCTTTGATACCTTACTTGCCATGTGAACTTCATTGAGCTTATGTCAATCCGAAAAGCTCTTCTTTCCCGTTGGTGTGGGTCTGAGAATTAAATGAGATAATACAGGTAAAGGGCCTGACACCGAGCAAATGCTCAATTTACTAGTTCAAGGACACGTACAGGAAGTGATTGACTTGGCTCAAATCCCAGCACTGCTATGTACTCACTGTGAGGTTAAGGCAAGACCTTTAACGATTGTGGCCTTGGTTATTTCACCTCTGTAGTGAGCACAATGGGAAGGTATACTTCATTAGACTTATTTATAAAGCCCTGAGAATCATACCTACCTTGTATTAGGTGCGCTACATGTGTTATGTATGATTATTAGGAGATAATCAAAAGCTGCAATCCCTTTAAATTTTAACACCAAACACAATGGGGTTTTAGATGAGAAATTCCATCAAGCCTAACTGTTTTCTTTAGAAGAGGAATGTAGGACATAAAAGGCAGAGTATGTGGCACAGAACTGTAGAATACATGTCCCTGCGACAGTAGTAAAAAAGGCAGAGATTCACTGAGGGGGGAATTCATGGACATTTATGGTCACATTTTTCTGATTGGCTGAGGGAATCAGCAGGCTTCTAGCCAGTTTTCTTTCTGTTCACAGAAATAAAGCTCACTGTGTTTGAAAATGAAGTAAGTTGTGTTTTATTTTCTTGATAGGAAAAAAAATGTACTTACATAGTCAGGGCAGACTTATTTCTACTCAATTAAAATTTGGCCAACTGGAAACTGGGTAAGAATATGTTTGTTATGAGATTATTGAGTTTGTTGTTGTTGATTTCCTTACATTTTCCATCTAATGCCATCAAAGAGGCACTCAAACCATTCTACAGCCAACCCAGACCTGACAAGCTGAATCAACTTGTTTTCTGAATGGGATACAACTGAACTGATGGATCCTTTCCCTGAGCTGGTTAAATTCTTGCCTCCTGGTGTTTCCTGTCCAGGGTGTGGCATCAGTAGCACATGGGAGCTTTTGAGAAAAATAGACTTCTCAGACTTCCTGAGTCAGACTCTGAACTCTAATACCAGAGCTAGGTTTATATCCATCTTGAGGTTTGAAAACCACTGAGTCAGAGACTGGAGTTAAAGTCACACTATTTCAATACTACTGCTTACATTTCAATCCAATTGCATGACTGTATCAGTTGAGATTCTTACAAAGGGAAATGAGCATAAGTAGAAAGATTTTACTTGATAGAATTTCTGGGGCAGTAAAGAGTTCCCTTAGCTCACTGCATTATTACTTTAGTCAATAAGGCCTTAAGCTTAAAAAAATAATAGGACAAGAGCGTGCTGTTAATCAACAGGAAACCATGTGTTCAACAGATCAACAAAACAATTGGGTTTTGTACTTCCTTGGGCAATTTATATCTTGATCGTAAGGTGGATGATGTAATGCTTTTGGAGATGAAATGGATTCAGCCTGGACTTTAGAATTTAACCTGTCTACTACTTATTGTGCAGCTTTGAGCCCATAATTCCAGGTTTCTCATCTGTAAAATAGGATGGTAACTGGACCTACCTCATTGAGTTATGAGGTGTGAGATAACAAGTGTGCAAAGAATCTACTGTGTCCTAGGCACTACATAAGCATTAGATATTATTGATGATAGTTTTGTTTGAGCTCACAATTCCTATCTCCTTAAACTATTGCTCTGAACATATTTTTTTGTGGCTTAAATAAAAATTAATGTGAATAAATTTTAAAAATAATTTTGATAAACTCTTTGGGTGACTTGGAAATGCTAAGGGAATTTCATAGCCAGGTGGAGGAATGCCTTCTTAGCATTTTCCCTTAGTATGGAGGCTACTATAAAAGTCTCTACTTCCCCCTCTGTCTGCTATGAGGGGCTCAGGCAGCCTGGTCACCCTTATAACCTGGATGAAGAACTCTTCTGATAAAGGTGTGTGTAGTATATCTGACAGTAAGATGCCTTGCTGCTTTGGGTGAGTGAGAGTTACTATCACCCATTTTTCATGAAGATATTCCAGTTCTGTTTATAAGTAGTGTTCCTTACACAGTGGACGTTGAGCAAACATTTGTCAAGCTACAGGGAACTACAGCATTGGGGGAATTTATAACCTCTAGAGAGTATTCCAAAATGCAGTAAATTGTCTTGGGAAATAGTAGGAGCTGGTGCTGGAAGGATTGAAACTCATGCTGATGCTTGGTTGAAGCCTGTGGGAGAGGAGATTAAATCGGAAGGTGTTCATCTCCTGGTCCCAGAGGCCTCTCTACCCTAACTTTCTGCCTCTGTAGGTCAGAGGCTATCAGGAGAGAGGAGGAATGGTTCAGGCCTAATATCTATGAGGGTCTCAAGTAACAACAGGATACTAGTGTCATGTGTCAAATGACAACACCATGACACAATGACACTAGCACCAAGTGTGATTCTGCATAGATGTTTTGAGTGTTAAAAACATCAGCTTGTTACACAGAAACACTTAAGACATCCCATGGTTTTGTCAGTTTCAATGTTTGTATGATTTTTATTTTGCTTTAATATGTGAACAGAACTTCAAAAGGTGAATGTAGGCCAATGTTCTCTGAGCCAGGCCTTTCTTTACCTCTGATAGTTTCTCAACTATTGTGTCTGTCTAAATGGTCAAGTCATATGTATATATGTGTGTGTATATATATATATATATAAATAAAATTGAGAGAGACAAACACAATACAGAAGACAGAGAGTCATATATATGGAAAGAGGGAAAGAGGGAACCTTCTCACCTTCAGATCAGAGGTAACAATGAAGGATCATGGACACAAAAATCCTGATCCAATGATTCCTCATTCGTTCTTGCTATGATGTGAATGCATCCCTGAGAATTCATGCATTTGAAATTTAATCCCCAGTTTCATATGCTGGCTGATAGTAGTGGAGGTGGGGCCTTTGGAAGGTAATTAGGGTTAGATGAGGTCGTGAGGGCGGGATCCGCACGTTCGGGGTTAGCGGCTTCATTTGAAGGGAAACACAGACCTGCGCTGGTGCATTCCTGCCCCTTCAGGGTGTGGTGCCTTCTGCTATGTTATGATGCAGCAAAAAGTCTCTTACCAGAGGCCGTTCCTTGATCTTGGACATCTCAGCCTGCAGAACTGTAACAAAACAATTTTTTTTTCTTTATAAATTACCTAGCCTGTGGTATCCTGCTATAGTAACACAAAATAGACTAAGCCCATTCTTTTCTGGAAAGTTTTAAAAATTGTTTTTTCATGGAGAAGCCAAAATAATAGGCTCCATACCTTGGTGGCCCAGCCTTTGAGCCCTGATCAGCTTGGCTGCAAGGCTCCTCTCTTTGGGCTGTGCCACTCCTGGCCTTCAGGCTCATGAACACGCTCTCACAGGAGGTAGACAGGAAAGGAGGTGGTAAGCTACTTAACTTGTCTTTCCTTCCATCTGATCTGTGAACTCAAATTAGCAACTTGTCTTGTGAGGGCACCTCATGTGGGGAAGAACCATGTGAAAGTAGTAACTAGTAATTCTTGGGAGTGCTGGGGGCTTTGTATGCATCATTTTTTTAACCCTATAAGAAACACTCTGGGAGATGAGAAAGTCTACAGGATAAGGATCATAGGTTTTCTATTAAGTCAAAACTATTTGTCCTCTTTTCATTCCTTTCCCAAAGATACAAGCATATTTCTGTTAATTAATAGAAATAACATTCAATTTTCATGGTCAGTTGACTGATATGGGATCTGACGCCCTCTAGCGACAAAAAAATTCTTTGCTAGAAATAGTGTACCCAGTTATTCAGTCTCTCTACAGGATTGCTATGGCAATTATCTTGAGTTTGAAACCATGACAGGCATTATAACAACTAACTTTGATAACAATGGATTTCTGGGCTGATCTTAAGATCTGATGTTACAGAAGTTAGGATACTTTTAATTGTAACTATTTGACTTAAACAAAAGCAGAGAATTTATTGGATTGGGTAACTCGGGTGGTTCAGGGTACGATTTTAGGACTGAGTCTCTCTGGGACTCAGGTGACACCATCAGGCTTCACGTCTCACACATCCCACTTCAAGCCCCAAAAAGTTTCTATCCCAGTGTTTGCAGTGAAAGTTCCAATTGGATGTGATGTGCTGATTGGTTTAGGCAAAGTTGAGTTCCCTACCCCTTTCCTCCCCCTACCAATGTGTAATCCCAGGCCCTCGATTGTTGCCAATGCCATTGTGATGGATAATTTCATGGACCAACTTGGGTAGGCCACAGTACCCATGTGTTTGATCAAATACCATGCTAGATGTTTCTATGAACCTGTTTTTCCTTTTTTTTTTTTTTTTTATGGGAACTGACATTTAACTATGTAGACTTGGAGTAAAACTCTTGTTCTCTGTATGTGGGTGTGCCTCATCCAATTAGTTGAAGGCCTGAAGACTAACCTTCCCTGAGAGAGTGGGAGCGCTGCCAGCCAGCTGTCTTTGGGCTCTATCAGCTGCTCTTCCTTGGGACCCCAGACTGCTGACCTGTGCTGCAGAGTTTTGCCTCGCCAGGCTCGACAAACATGTGAGCCAGTTCCTTAAAATCTGCCTGTCTACCATGTATCCCCCTGTACAGGAGTATTGATTCTGCTTCTCTGGAGGGCCCAGACTAAAAAGAGGAGCAGTTTCTCTTTTCTTTTTATAAGATTTATGTATGAGAGAGAGAGAGAAAGAGAGAGAGAGAGAGAGAGATTGATTCTCCATCTGCTGGCTCATTCCCCAAATGGCCCCAATGGCCATGCCTGGGCTAGTCTGAAGGCAGGAACCTGGAACTCCACCTGGACTTGGGCCACCGTCTGCTTTCCCAAGCACATTAGCAGGGAGCTGGATTGGAAGAGGAGCAACCAAGACTTGAACTGGCAGAGACAGATGCTTAACTCCGTGTTCATGATGCCAGCCTTAGCCTGGTCTTTCTGATGGCACTGAACACGTACTGGAAAGTGAGGCAGAGACAAGTGAATCAGTGCCCACAGGGCTGGATGATCAGTGCAGGGACAGATGCAAAACAGGTTGAGTTGAAAGCACCTAGGAGGGTGGGCGAGCCAAAAGTCAGAGGCCTGAACAGGCTTCCAGAACAAAATGTCTTCAATTAAGAGCCAGCCCCAAGGATCAAGAGTGGGCCAGGCAGGGGAGGAGAGTGGAAATGAAGGGTTGGATCTCGCTGGGAAGGAAGAGAGCAGCAGAGTGAGGGGCCCCGGGCCAGCATGCTGCAGGATGCCAAGGAAAAGAACTTGAGGTGCGCCCAGTCTAGGGACTGCATCCAGCCCCAAGACCACGCATGATGTCATTCTACACACTCATCTCCTGTAGAAAAGCCTTTCAAAAGCTATCCAGAATTATCTACTTTCCAAAACAATTGTGGCTTTGACCAGGTGTTAACCACAACACTAAAGAATTACGAGGACAACAACACAAGAATTTTTAAAGAAAAATTGGCCAGGAAATGGTGAGTAACAAAGGAGAGGAAGTAATCATGAATGTTTAATACAGCTGGGGCTGTGTGAACTGTCAGTAGTTTGTTCTCCTTTAGAGAGGACAAGGTTAGGGAGCCTGGGTTTCGTTGCATGGGCTCTGGACCGTTCATCCCGGCCACTTCATACACTGCTCAGGGTCCCTGGTAACCGCCCTTGTGGAGCTACAGTTCTGAGAGCTGTGAAGGTGAGGGCTTCTGTCCCCAGCCATCAGCCAAGCTCCTGCACCCCAGTCTCCAGTCGCTGTCCCCGCCCTCTCCGACTCTCCCGGGTTCACACACAGCAGGGAGGCCTGCAGCCAGCACTCCAGGTCCTTACCTGACCCGAGCACCCCGGGCGACGGCGGAAACCGCCCAGGATGGGGAATGCCCGTTTGTGCAACAAACCCTGACTCCTTCCCCACCCCGGCTTCCCCCACCCCCCACCCCCGCGCAGGCCAAGTTGCTGAATCAATGGAGCCCTCCCCAACGCGGCGTTCCCCGGCAAAGCTCCCTCCCCCCGGGTCCGACCGTGGCGGGAGGAGGGACACACACACACACACACACACACACACACGTCAAAGATCGCTTCCGGGAGAAAGCGAGAAGCGGCTTGCGAGTAACTTTTGGGGAGCGCAGGGGCCCGGCCCAGGCAGAAGACACATCCGGAGACCAGCTGAGCTCAAGAAGGGGGCCACGTGGAGCTGTCGCTGCTCCCGGGGCTGGCTGGCCCGCTGAGCTCAGAGCCGCAAAGGTCCCTTCCCGTGGCGGATTGTTCCACAGCTATGACCGGGATCTGGGTACTGCTGCCTCTGGTGAGCCTTCTGCCCACAGGCAGTTTTTCGCCTGCTTAGCCCCGGGGCGCGCGCTTGACTGCAGCGGGGGCGCGGATCGAGCGCATGTGTGTATGTGTGTGTGTGTGTGTGTGTGTGTCTGTGTGTGCGTGTGGTGGTGGTGGGGTGGGGTGGGGGTGGGGGGGATCGCGCGCCGCGGGCGGGCTGCGGTCGGCACTTGGAAGCCTGGCCCTCGGGAACTGCTAGGTGCAGGTGCTCAGAGAGCGGGGGACACTCGCCTTCTTGGGGGCGTGATGAGAAGCGCTGGCGCCGCGGGCAGGCGGAGTGGCTCCCACGCTTCTTGGGGTCTGCTGCGCGCCACAGAGAAGAGGTGGGCGTGGGAGTTGTCAGGAACGGGGTCGGAACCCCGCAGGCTCTGAGATCTGGAAAGGCCCTTGGGCGGAGACAAGGTGGAATCTCTGGCCTTGTCCTTTAGGGCAGCAGGGGTGCGGGCGGGTGGGTGCGCGCCGCGAGCCGCGCCGAGCCTGGGGTCTTTGGAATAGATGTAGCCGCTTTCTCGACAGTTCTCAGACTTACAGGGTAAGTGAGCTCCAGGCAGTAGTTACACCCACGGCTTCGGGCGACACCCGGTCTTTCTTGAAAGTTTACCGTGGGGCGGAATGCGCCTCGGGAGGCGACACAGAAAAAGAAACCGTTTTATTTCCCTTCCGGGAATTCCTCTCCTGAAGACTGTTAAGTCACTCCCTCCGTGCGGGTGGTGCTGTTTCTCTGCCCTTCTTTTTCTTCTTCGACGTTTTCTCAGCCCGCACTCCCCGGTGGCTTCTGAACGCCGGGGCGCCCAGGAGCCGGTGGCAGGCTGGGCGGGAACGCCGGCGTCATGATGGCCAATCGAAGGGGCTTGGCCCCAAGAGCCAGAGTTCTAAAGCTTCTGAGAGTCGCTGGTTTCTGACTGTGTGGGTCCCCAAGGCAGGGCCAGCCAGGCCGAGTGATCCCAGCCCTTCTCTCAGCGGCCGGCGGTGTAGAGGGAGACGCCCTTATCTCCATTTTACAGAGGCCCGGTGGAGTTCAGAGAGCCCAAGTAAACCAGCTGAGGTCACACAGCAAGTGGCGCCGCTGGGATGGAAATGAAGTCGAATACCAGGAGTAGAAAGGAAAAGGCTGTGGTGTCCAGGGCCGTTTGGTGATTGGGAAAAACATCCCCGTCCTGTGCAATCTGGATGCCCCTTTAGAAATTTCCTTAAAGAAAACTGTAGTATTCAAAACTGAGGACCATTTATACAGCCTCGGGCCATAGTTTATCATTAACCACTGCACAACTGGTGTTGGTGTCTTTGAAAAAAAATTCTTAGTTCTTGGGCAACAGTACTAGCAGAGTATAATAAAGTTGTCAAAGCCTAGAGCTCGGCTTGTTTAACTTCTGTACCATGGCGTCTTTACCAGAGAACAGTGCATGTTTGAAGCACCATGGAAACTTAGCTTTTCTAAAAGTGTGCACACACACACACACTTGCATATACATACAATCATGTATGCCTACGATACCTTTAATATTAAAAGTTTGATTATATTTTCTGTGCTATATGGCCCAGGAAACTAGGTTTATTAAATAAAATTACAACTGCAGATGAGTAAGATTTAATCAGTTATAACCTTCTCACTTATATAATCATTGTTCACACATATCTTCCATTTTTCCCCCCTCATAAGACTTTCTAAAATTTAGTTACACAGAACCTCACCTTGCACCCCACTTGTCCAGCTTCATGTATCAGTTCTTTTATTTATTTATTTTTTTTTTTGACAGGCAGAGTGGACAGTGAGAGAGAGAGACAGAGAGAAAAAAAGGTCTTTCTTTACCACTGGTTCACCCTCCAATGGCCGCCGCGGCCATTGGATCTGATGGCAGGAGCCAGGTACTTCTCCTGGTCTCCCATGGGGTGCAGGGCCCAAGCACTTGGGCCATCCTCCACTGCACTCCCTGGCCACAGCAGAGAGCTGGCCTGGAAGAGGGGCAACTGGGACAGAATCTGGCGCCCCGACGGGGACTAGAACCCGGTGTGCCGGTGCCGCAAGGCGGAGGATTAGCCTAGTGAGCCGCGGCGCCGTCCTGTATCAGTTCTTGAAGAAGTTTCCACACTGTGGTGTCACTCACCTTGTATGTCTCCAGAAAATACCTGTTTTTTATGCCTTCGCACTTAGAGGTGTTTTCTCAGTAGAGGCAATGAAATAAAATGGAGGCTGAATTCTAATGACTTGGAACACAAAGCAGATTTTATTTAATTACGATGATGTAAACCTGGGTCCCCCCCTTTCTCTTTTCCTCTTTCTCCCCTTCCCACTCTTTGGTGCTATCCATTGGGATAGCAAATACCCTTCCTTCCCCTTCTCGCTACCCTCTTGGAGTTAGCTTTTATTCCCCTAGTTTCTGAGTATTTTTTTCCCATGAAACCTGCGATAAATAAGTTATAAACCCCCAAACATCCACACATTGATAGAGATAGGAAAAGAGTCAAACTTACTTTACAAATTTGTTTGGGAAAAAGCTCTGTGTGCTGCTTCTGTTCCTTTAAATAGCACATGGCCTTTCAGGTTTTGTCTTGTCCGGTTTGTTAGGACTGAAGCCGGTCAGTCACTACACTGCCAGTTTCTTCTGTATTACTTAGAACAGTTGTTTCAAAATTATCATCAAAAGTAAAGAAGAGGGCACTCTGAAAACAACAACAACCACAGCAGTGAATGTACATGTAACCATACAGAGTAACTTCATGGGGGAAGTAAAGGCCCCTTTTATTTGATAAATTTCATCATTTCCCTAAAAAGACCCAAGAAACATGAAGTGGATTCCAATGTGCTTCCATCTAGTTTAGTTTTAAATGGATCTTACTTATATCTCAAAGGACATGAGCAGTTTTGTGAATACAAAAAAATTATGAAATGTAATTTAAAACATTAACAACCAGGATGGAAAAATGCAAATCTAAAATGGCAGCATGATGGGGAGACAAAAATTAAACTGAGAAGACCACTAGGGCCCTTACTACTAGCTGCAGTTAGATAAGCAGTGTGTTAGTTTAAATTGGAAAAATAAATTGTATTTCTTGCACCAGAGGTGTAGGGGGGGATAAAGGTGAAATACTTAGAATCAAAGGGGAACTGTGATTTGGATGCTATCTGTAAGTCTCTTTGGGACAGCAGACAAGCGATTTACTTCTAAATAATCTTACAGTGGAAGTGACAGCATTTCAAAGGAATCTCTCTGAAAGTTATTAGATTGCTTTAGGGTAAGAGGAGTTACTTTAGCACAACTCAGAGCTGGAGGGCATAATGGTTTTCTAAGAGAGATTAATTAAGTAACAAACCTGAGTAAGGAAAGTCCCCCCTTGAAAACCCCTAGTAAGCTAAGTGCTTTTTGTGGATTATCTTGGGTTCCAAAAGTCCCTAAATGAGCACATGTTTTGTTTTTGTAATTGATATTAACACCTCTTTGTTATGAGGAAAAATAATAAAAACATATTTGTTTAAACTTGATCCATAAGATAAAAAGCAAGTTGAAACCAAATTTTGGACAGTGATTCTGTTTTAAATATGTAAATACAGAAAAGTGGACATATGTTGTGAAACAAAAATTAAATATTTTAAAAAATAAAGCCCCTCATTATTTCACCACTCTGATAGGTGGTGTGATTTTACTTACAGCCTCTTGATCATATCTACACATATTCATAATTGCATGTTTAATCACTGCCATTTATAGTCTTGTCACTTCGCATGTATGTAAACCTTTTTATTTTTCTACATAATTTCCATCTAATCTTATTGGATTCATTATACAGAAGGCATTCATTAAATAATTTGGGGTTACTTTAATTTTTATTATTATTTTTATAATTTATTATTATATAGAAAGCATTTCTTAAATATATTATTATACATAAATGTATGTATGTATCCATATTCAATTACATATATATTCTAATAATTTATATATATACACACACATATATACACCACTCATATATAAGACTTTTTCTTACTACCAAAGAATTATTTACAGATCCTTTGTAAGTGCCTTGTGTACAGTTTCATATTCTTTTTGCTGTATATGTATTCACAAAAGTGGAAAACCAACTTATTTACTTAATCATGGAAGAAGTCTTTTGCATTTTCTGGAAAACTCTTACTTTGAAAAGACTAAAATGCCTGTGGTTTTTACATACTTGGACTCTTTCTGACACCAATTAAGTCTCTCCAGTTCAGTCTTCAGCAAGAACAATAGTTCAGTCTACTTGCCTGCCTTTATGTTTTTTGAAGAGGCAGTGTGAGTCGTACAGCCCAAATTAGAAAGAAGTCAACCATAGCAAGATTAATCACCTTCACCTTTTAGATTTTCAATGAACTGCTGCATACGCTAGTCATCCCCATCTATGAGTGTTTACAAACAGCAGCTATAAGTGGTATGAGATGATTGGCTGAAGTTCCACTAAGTGGAGATGAGAGTAACTCTAATGTGAGATTGCACATTTTGGGCAAGGTCAGCTTTGTAAATTAGCAACTCAGACCACAAAATAAACAGCTGATTTACTCAAGTCAGCAACATGAATAAGAATTAGAGTAAAATTGGATTAAAACTGAAAAATTAGAATAAAATCAGCACTGGATGCATTAATGTGGGCTATCCTACAGTGTGTATTTACTCACCTCTGTATTCTATGATAGCATAAAAATGTAAGATGTGGCAAACATTAGCACTTGATTTCCAAGGGCAGAGATCAGAGACCTTCAACAGAGACAGAGAGAGGGAATGACCTTGGTTTTGGCGGTTAAGGCTCTTTTCTCTTTGCTGAGGATTCAGCTTTGGTTTTGAGCCATCCTCACAAAATCATCTCTGATCCTGGGGAACTGTTTTTACACAGAGTGTCTGTAAGAATTCAGGGCTTATTTCCAGAATTGGGCCTATGGCGCTGGCTCGAGTCCTGGAAAATGGAAGAGCTAGAATGACATAGCACATGGCTCCTGTTCCCCTGGCCTCAGGAAGGGCTTCCCCCTGGTGCAGATGGAATGTTCTAGCATGGCAAGCCCCTCCACTTTTTATTGTCTACTGTACCTGGCTACTTTACTCTTGTGCTATCTCTGTGTTCTTTCCATGCACTTTAGGAAGGCCTCTGGGACTCTCTAGCCCTCTCATTATTCATTTCTTCTACCAAAGATGACTTCGCTCCTTTTTAAGCTGACTTCTGGAAAGATCATGATTTCTCCATGGGAAGTAAAATTCTGGTTTGCACGTGCAGAACACAGATGCTTTTGGTCCATAATGGTTTTGCCTTCTCACGTGTAAACGTGGTAGCCGGCTAACCTCCAATTTGCTGCCTCTAGATCAGTTCCCCACCTGGTGAGCATCCATCCAAAACATCCAGGGTCCTTCTTAAAGGTAATAGTGACTCCTTAGATCTGTGGTGGTGCCTACGCATTTTTTAAAAAAATACATTATTATGTGATTGTGATACCTGTCAGAATTTTTTTAAAGAGTTATTTATTTGAAAGTTGTAGGAGGGAATAGAGAGAGAGAGAGAGAGAGAGGAAAGAGAGAGAGAGAGAGGGAGAGAGAGAGAGAGGAAAGAGAGAGAGAGAGAGGGAGAGAGAGAGCGAGAGAGCGAGCTATCTCCCATCCCTGGGGTTCATTTCTCAAATGGCCTCAACGGCCAGGGTTAAGCCACACAGAAGCCAGGAGCCTGAAACTTCACTGAAGTCTCCCATATGGTGGGAGGGGCTATTTTCTGCTGCTTTCCCAGGCACATTAGCAGGGAACTGGATTAGAAGCACAGCAGCCAGTACTCATATAGGATGCCAGTGTCACCAGCAGTGGCTTAACCTGCTGTGGCATGATGCCCACTCTTGTCAGGATTTTGAGAGGTTTTTCTAACCCTAGCACTGAACTAAAAATCTAATCCCTGATGGTATTCCTTTGGCTCCTTCATTTTATTTTATGTGTTGCTTGGTTGATAATGAATCTAACCAGTCATTTGTTCCTGCTCTCTCAACTGCCTTTCTCCTGTATTTTCCAGAAAGCGGACTTAATAAAGAAAGGGAAGGGGCAGGTGTTTGGCACAGCAGATAAGACAGCACATGGGATGCCCAATCCTGTATCAGTGCCACACAAGAAAGTCAGCACATGTCTTCTCTAGAGGTACATAGACAGTACCTGAGAAACATATCTACTCATTCATAGTTCAGTTACAATGCAAAGAGATGTTAATTATGAGATATTTTTTCTTTGTCTTACTATCTACCAGGCAGCTCAGTGAGTGACATAGGATTTGCATTTGTGGACATGGGAATCTATAAATCCAGGTGTGGTTGATAAGGAACGAGGATACTCCAAGGATTGCACAGAAAATGCATATTACAAAAAAATTTGTGCATCAACTTCAAAAATTTCTTATACCAAAGTAAACTTATTATTTGTAATTCAATTTCCATGAACTTTTCAAGTATCCTTATACTTCTCTGGTAAACATTCTTTAAAAAAATAAATCGAGATTTTTTTAGAAACAGAATTTACTACAAACTATAGTTACCAGTGGTGATTTGTATAACCGAGCTTTCGATTTCATAAATTAGAGAATTCCCTTTAGTGTGGCACATCTTTTTGCCCAACTCTTTTACTTCAATAAATAAAATAAAATAAAACAGAATTTTCTTCCTCAAATCACATGCTCTTATGACTGATGACATAGTTAATCTCAGTAGGCCAAAGGGAAATAAAACAGCGCTGATCACACTAGTTTAAGGAAATATATCCAATTAAGC